TCCACTCTATAGGTATAACAGCACCCACCACTCTTAAGTCACAAAGTGAATTGAATAAAGCAGAACTTGTCATTCTTGTGTCTGGGTTCCTACTTCTACTTCCTTAGTACAGATTATCATCATCTCTTTCCCAGATTCTTTTTCTTTTTAAATAAATTTATTTTAATTGGAAGCTAATTACTTTGCAGTATTGTGGTGGTTTTTGCCATACCTTGACATGAATCAGCCATGGGTGTCCATGTGTTTCCCATCCTGAACCCCCCTCCCACCTCCCTCCCCATCCCATCCCTCTGGGTCATCCCAGCGCACCAGCCTCGAGCACTTGTCTCATGCATCCAACCTGGACTGGCGATCTGTTTCACATATGGTAATATACATGTGTCAATGCTATTCTCTCAAATCATCCCGCCCTTGCCTTCTCCCACAGAGTACTTTCCCAGATTCTTATAGCAGGCTTTCGATTAGTTTCTTGTTTGCCTTTAGCCTTTGTCTGTTTTTCCCACCTATGTACTACAGTCTCTGCCTGGTAATGCGCAGTCTCCACACTCTGAGGGGTTAGACTGGGGTTAGGGAAACAGAGGCCAAGAGAGGAGGCGAAGTCTGCCTCTGGAGGGAGACAGGCGACGCTGCAGAGAGCCCAGGCCTAGGACGCTGCTTCCGCTCCAGAGCATGCCACAGGCCCTCTGATCCCAGCCCACCGCGCACTCACACATGTTGTCAAGGAAAGAGAGTCAGAGAGAAGGGCCCTCTGGAAACTGCTAGCGTTTGCCTGAAAGGCATCTTTTTTTTTTTTTTTGGGTATATGTGATTTGGGCTTCCCAGATGGTGCTAGCGGTAAGGAACCCACCTGTCAATGCAGATGTAAGAGACGTGGGTTTGCTCCCTGGGTCGGGAAGATCCCCTGGAGGAGGGCATGGCAACCCGCCCCAGTGTTCTTGCCCGCAGAATCCCATGGACAGAAGAGCCTGGTGGGCTACAGTCCACGGGTCGCAGAGTCAGGCACGGCTGAGCGACTTACGGTAGGTGATTTACAGTACTGACTTACAGTACCTACCTACAGCACCTACTTACAGCACCCACTTACAGCACCTACTTACAATACCTGCTTAGTGCCCACTTACCGTAGGTGCTGTGTTAGTTTCAGGTAGCAGCAGAGTGGTTCGGTTACACACACACCCAGTCTTTTGCAGATTCTTCCCCACTTAGGTCGTTGCAGACTATGACAGAGCTCCCTGCTGTATAAGGTTCTGCTGTTCAGCCACTCGGTTGTGTCCTGTCCTACTCTTTGCAGGCCGGACCCAGTGGCCTGCAGCACGCCAAGCTTCCCTGTCTCTCACCATCTCCTGGAGCTTCCTCAAACTCATGTCCCTTGAGTTGGTGACATAATAGGTCCTTATTAGTTATTTGTGTTATATAGAATAGGGGCTTCCCTAGTAGCTCAGTCGGTAAAGAATCTGCCTGCCATGCAGGAGACCCGGGTTCGATCCCTGGGTCGGGAAGATTCCCCTGGAGAAGGGAAAGGCAACCCACTCCAGTATCATTGCCTGAAAAGGCATTGAGAGAGGAGCCTGGCAGGCCACAGCCCATGGGGTTGCAAAGAGGCAGACGTGACCTAGCCACTAAAGCACCGCCATGCATAATACTTTTGTATGTGTCAAGATAAGGGGGAACATAAACTGGCAGATTGAGATTGACTGAAAGGAATCTTTTGGGCTAAGGGGTAGAGGTATCACTGATTCAAAGGCTTATGTCTCCCTGCCACTTAATCAAGCATTGAAAAGAAGACACAGTTGGTGAAGGGGCTGTAAAAAGACACATTTTGTCTTCACTCCAAATGTAAAGTGTGTGACTCTGCAGTGCTGAATACAGACGGGGAGCGTCTCCTGGAATCATGGCCCTGCTGTTTCCTCGGTACTAGAACTTGGCTAAAGATTTATTCTGCCTGATGGTCATTGCTGTTGTTGTTCGTGTTTTGAATCTTAACCTTTGACTCACTGTTCTATTGTTGTTCAGTCACTGAGTCCTGTCCGAGTCTTTGTGACCCATGGACTGCAGCGCACCAGGCTTCCCTGTTCTTCATTGCCTCCCAGGGTTTACTCAAACTTGTGTCCATTGCGTCGGTGATGCCATCCAACCATCTCGTCCTCTGGTGTCCCCTTCTCCTCCTGCCCTCCATCTTTCCCAGCATCAGGTCTTTTCCAGTGAGTCAGCTCTTCACAGCAGGTGGCCTATACTATGTATAAATCTGGAGTCTGAGAGCATCACAAGAGATTCCCCTTATGTTTGGCACAAAATTTCATAGGCTCAACAGAGGAGACAACACAAATCTGCCTGCCGTTCAGCATCTTCAAGCAAGAAGACAGTGGTGAAAGGCCTTCAAAATCCTCAGGAAAATAGAACAACACATGTTCTAGAGTTTGTCCTTAACCAAACGGACATTCAAGTATGAAGGCAACGAGCAGCTTTGATCATGCAGAGCCTTCTCAAGGGAAGCAAATGACAAGCTTCACCCACCCAAGGACAGATGAAGAAACTGTGCCTACAGGACTTACCGTGGCCAATGAATCCATTTAACTACAGGTCAAAGATTAGACACCGATGTGGGAACTGCGATAGGCAGAGAGAATCGTGAATGCTGTAAATCTCGTCCCAGTTTTAGCTCTGCGTCCTGCCGCTTCCTCACCAGACTCAAGGCTCTTTTCATACTGAAATTCTTTGTCTGAATCTGTTGTCACGGTCTTGCTTACCACAGAGCCTTTACCCAGACTCACCTCTGCCCGGGAGGAGCTCACTCGAGTGCCATCTCTTTTCCACCCCATTCAGACATTCACTCTCTCTGCCCAATACCTATTCTCCAAGAGCTCAGCTTCACCCTTTTCTTCAGGAGAGCTTCCACATCACCTTCTCCTGTGTTCCTGTTCTCCCCACAAGTATAAAACTGCGTTAGAATCCTCCTGTTTCTAGCCATTCTCCCCAGTCACAGCACCCTCTAAGACTGTCAGTTTTGTGCTTGCAGAAACAGGATTTGTTACACTCATTTCTTTCTAAATTCTCAGGGTCTTTCTCAGTGCCTAACATATAAGGTAGACTCTCCATAAACAAATAGATACATATCAAAATGTAGATATAGTTCTAAGTTCTTTTTGCTTGTCTTTGTAATCACACACACACACACAACTGATATAATTCAGACATTTTTTTTTAATGAAAAAAGATGTATTTTAAAAAAATGTAAGTGACACAATTGACCTTGCCAGACCAAGGTTTTAGGTAAAACCAATGAATCCTTTTTTGGTCATTAAACTATGTCATTTCAAGTAGTGGTTTTGTACCATTGAAAGATTAATCTTAACACTTTGATTTGCAAAGCAAACCATTAACTTGATTTATTATGAAACATCAACCTTACTTAATCTGACCAGATACCAGGCTGTCAATTTGACAGTAATGATACTGTTTTCCTCCTAGTGACTGAGGTTAACAATACCAATTTGCTAAGTTAATGCTTGGGTGGATATTGTCAATATGTAATTGAGTGACTAACTTAGATAAATAAAAAACAGTTCTGGTATCAGGTCTACTGAACTGTGGAATTTAGGCACTTTGGCCAAAGAAGCTACACTTCCAAACTAGATGTGTGTGGAATACCATTTATTTACTGTTTCATTAAATAAATATATTTTATTGCATGTTGAAAAAAACATTATTTATAAGAGATCAAATTATCAGAATAAAACATAAAATCATACAGTAAACAATCGTATTTCCAAATGACTCTTTCAGAAGGCAGTGGTCACTTTTCTGTAACAGTTGTTACAAGTTTTCACTTGAAGAAACTCCTGGTATTATATCTTAACCTGCTACAATTCAGTTTAGTGAATTCCTTCTGAAACTTGCAATCATGTGGTTAAACATATGTTGTCATCTTTCGAAGCCTAGAAACATGATATAAATGTAACGAGACTAATATGTCCTTCGGGGCACTTAGTTGTCATTCGAGATAAATTCAGATATGACTTCCTTTTTCTACCTCGTCTCTCCCGTTTTTCTTTCACTACAAAGAAAAAGGAAAGCTAGTTTAAATGGCACGTGGTTAGACTACATAAAGGAACAATTTTCAGATTGGAAGTATGACTTTCCAGCCCAGTGTTCTTATATACACCAACTGTGCTCCAGATTTGAGCGTGAACTTGTTCTTTTGGGGAGCATTGTCTCCTTGCTTTATTTGGGAGAAGGGCACTAGACAATCAATCATATTTGTCACTTAGTCAATATTTGAATAAAGTCATATGTCCTTAATGTAGCTTCACTTTGAGAAAAGTCTACTGAAATTGAAGACATATTTTAGAGATGGAAATGTGTGGCATTGTTTAAATGAGACACCTCCAAACTTTTCTCTCTTCTGTAATTTGAACTGGGAACCAGGGGTTTCATCCATATAATCTCAAGTGTTCTAATCAAGTCCAAAAGTACATAAAGTCTGGAGCTTCGCTCTCCCATGGGGAGTCTGTGTAGTGTGGAGAAATAAATGAGTAATCTCATCATGTCTGGAGTTGATGAAACAGGACTCAAAGTGTAATTAAGATATTCTATGAACAAGATGGCCAAGATCCGATTTACAGAGTTAATTGAAATCTTTGGCAGGTGCACCTTGATGCTGGACTTTATCAGTGAATCAAAAAGAATCAACACCCCTCCCACCCCCACCACCAAATGTATAGCAGGGCAGCTATTTAACTGTGAATATCCGTAACCAGTGAGGCCTGCACGGTAGTGTCAATGGACACGGACACAAATCCCACATGGGGTTATTTATTTGTTGACCTTGCATGTGATGGCGTGGAGGAGTCTCTCTAGGAGGACTTGCTTCCAGTTAGAAGGAGTCACTGGGGCAGGAGGTGAAGCTCTCATAGAGCGCGCTCGCTCAGCAACAGGCAGGCGCTCTTTAAGGAGGGGAGCTAGTCCGCGAAGCAGAGAGCCTCGGTTTCCCTGTCGGTGGGATGATTGTGGGACGGAAGGATGGGGGCGAGTTGAGACCCAGCGCACTGGAGGAGTGCTGTCGGTGTCAGAGCAAGCGAGGAGAGACGGGGCCCCCGCCTTTTCTGGTGACGGCTGCAGAGACGGGCTCGGTGTGGGGATCGCTCTGCCCCGTGAACTGCCGCCCGCGTCTCGCTAAGGATTCTCTGGTGACTGTTTCAGTGGCCGCTCATGACTTGTGAATGCATTAGGTGAGGGCTTGTGAAGAAGGGCTTCAGCCTGGGGATGAACGTCAAAAGCACACCAGTGGGATTGCTGGGGGTCTGCGTGGTGTGCACAGACCCCCTCACTCAGCAACAGGATTATTGTCCACACAACTTATCTGAGAGGTGTCTTGTTCTTGGGAACTCTTTTCCTACCAGAAAGTCTATTTCAGGAGGTCATATTCTATTCCTGCTTATGCTTGCTAATTGTGTGTATGTGTATGTGTGTGTACACATAGATTTCTATAAAACACAGATATGCAATGTGTCTTGATTCTCTCTTTTTTAAAATTTTTACTTTGTATTGGACTGTGGTTGATTTACAGTGTTGTGTTAGTTTCCTATGTACAGAAAAAATACATGTGTTATGTAGCTTCACTTTATATATATTATATATATAAGCTCATTTCATATATTTTATATATATATACAACTTCACTTTTCTGTGCATAGGAAACTGACACAACATTATAAATCAACTACAGTACATATAGTAAATATGTATGTTTTATATATATATATATATATGTATGTATATATATTGCTTCAAACTCATTTCTCACTTAGGTTATTTCAGAATATTGAGCAGAGTTTCCTGAGTTTCCTGTGACATACAGTAGGTCCTTGTTGGTTATCTATTTTAAACCAACAGTAGATTTAGGATTTCCCTGGTGGCTTAGATTGACTAAGATAGTCTACACTCCTTGAAAAGAAAAAAAAAAGAACTCCACCCTTTAAGTCTTTCAAATTTATTCCTTTGGGTGGGTGAAAGGAGCCAGAAATCAGAAACATATCCCTCCCTCCCAACTCACTGAAAAATATGTATTACATGGAACCAGGTTATACACTTTGAAGATTCCTGACTGCACATATACACTTTTGGGTTTTATATTTAAAAGATCTGCTGCTATTTTGATTGGTACTGCATTGAATCTATAAATCAATCAAGGATACCTGATACCTTAACAATATTAGGTCTTCTCTTAGTAATGATTTATAGTTTCGGTACATTGATCGTTCATATGTTTTATCAGATTTACCTTTTTAATTGGATTTTTATTGCTTATGGCAGTAGGCAAAAATAGTTGACATTTTGTATGTAGTATTCCAGATATAGATGGAATTCCAGATACATCTGGAATACAATTCTAGATGATGGAATTGTCTAATTCCATCAGATTTTCTATGTTGATGATCATACCTGCAAAGAAGGTCTCTTATGTTTTCCTTTTCAGTCTGGATGATGGTTCTTTCTCTCTGTCTTTTTACTTTCTTTATAGTATTTTATTTTTATATGAATACACTAGCTGGAACCTTAATAGAAATAGAGAGCAAAAATTCTGTTGGGCCTGAACTTTGGGGGGAAATAATATAATTTGTAGTCTCCTTTTTCAGATGGAGAGTTTATTTCTATTCCTAGTTTGCTGAGTTTTTTTAAATTAGAAAAGGTTTTTATATTTTGTCAAATGCTTTTTCTACACCTGTAGAGACAACACATTTTCTTTCGATTTCTTTAACTTTTTTGTATTTAGTTTGTTCTATGATAAATTAGAAAGAAAAAGAAAAACAGGAAGGCAAAGTGGTTATCTGAGGAGGCCTTACAAATATCTAAAGAAAGAAGAGAAGTGAAAAGCAAGGGATAAAGGGAAAGGTATATCCAACTAAACACAGATCTCCAAAGAACAGCATGGGGTCACAAAGACTTCTTCAATGAACAGTGTATAAAACTAGAAGAAAAAACAGAAGGGGAAAGACTAGAGCTCTCTTCAGGGAAACTGGATATATCAAAGGAAATTTTGCCCAAAGATGGGCACAATAATGGACATAAATGGTAGAGATCTAGTAGACACTGAAGAGATCAAGAAGAGATGGAAAGAATACACAGAAGAACAGTACAAGAAAGATCCAAATGAACCGGATGACTACAACGGTGTGGTCAGCCACCCAGAGCCAGCCGTTCTGGGGAGCGAAGTCAAGTGGGCCTTAGGAAGCACTGCTGTTAATAAGCTGGTGGATGTGATGGAATTCCAGTAGAACTATGCAGATCCCTAAAGGATGCCATCAAGGTGTTGCATTTGATATGTCAGCAAATCTGGAAGACCCAGAAGTGGCCACAGGACTTGAAAAGGCCAATCCTCATCCCAGTTCCCAAGAGGGGTAGTACTAAATAATGTGCTGACCATCGGACAGTTGTACTCATCTCCCATGCTAGTAGGTCATGCTTAAAACTTTGCATGCTAGACTTCAAGATTATGTGAACCAAGAGCTTCCAGATGTCCAAGCTGGGTTTAGAAAAGGATGAGGAACTAGAGATTAAATTGCCAACATGCACTGGATCATAGAGAAAAAAGCTAGGGAATTTCAGAAAAGCATCTATCTCTGTTTCATTGACTATGCCAAAGCCTTTGACTGTGTGGATCATAATAAACTGTGGAAAGCTCTTAAAGGGATGGGAATACCAGACCATCTTACCTGTACCCAGAAAACCTGTATGTGGGTCAAAAAGCAACAGTTAGAACCCTGCAGAGAGCAACCGGTTGGCTCAAGATAGAGAAAGGAGTACGGCAGGGCTGTCTGCTGTCACCCCGTCTGTTTAATCTATATGCTGAGCACATTGTGAGAAATGCTGGGCTGGGTGAGTTACAAGCCAGTATCAAGATAGGCGGGAGAAACATCAACAACCTCAGATGTGCGGGTGATACCACTCTAATGGCAGAAAGCAAAGAGGAACTAAAGAGCCTCTTAATGAGGGTGAAGGAGGAGAGTGAAAGAGCCGGCTTAAAACTAAATAATCTAAGACCATGGCACCAGTCCCCTGACTCATGGCAGATAGAGGGGAGGAGGCGGAAGCAGTGACAGAGCTCCTCTCCTTGGGCTCAGAATCACTGCAGACGGTGACGGCAGCCATGGAATCAGAAGGTGATTGCTTCTTGGCAGGAAAGCGATGACAAACCTAGACAGTGTGTTGACAAGCAGAGACACTACTCTGCCAACAAAGTTCCTCATAGTCAGGGCTTCAGTCTTCCCAGTGGTCATGTATGGATGTGAGAGCTGGATGGTAAAGAAGGCAGAGCGCCGAAGAATTGATGCTTTTGAGCTGTGGTGCTGGAGGAGACCCCTGAGAGTCCCTTGGACTGCAAGGAGATCAAACCAGTCAATTTTAAGGGAAATCAACCCTGAATAGTCATTGGAAGGACTGATGTTGAAGCTGAAACTCCAGTATTTTGATCATCTGATGCAAATAGCTGACTCATTGGAGAAGTCCCTGATGCTGAGAAAGATTGAGGGCAGGAGAAGAGGGTGTCAGAGGATGAGATGCCTGGATGTCATCACCGATGCAATGGACATGAACTTGGGCAAACTTTGGGAGATAATGAGAGACAGGGAGGCCCAGAGTGCTGCAGGCCATGGGGTCGCAAAGAGTCGGACACGACTGGGCTACTGAACAACAACAACATGGTAAATTACATTTATTGATTTCCAAATGTTAATGTCCATTCTTAGAATAAATATCAATTGGTTATGATGTATTGTACTTTTTATAGATTATTATTGCACTCAAATTGTGAAAGTTTTGGTTAGGGTTAGGATTCTTATGACTATGTTCAGTGGGTATATTGATCTATAGTTTTGTTTGTAATGGCTTTGGTTTTGGTATCAGGGCAAAGCTGGTTTTATGGAATGCATTAAGAATTATCCTCTTCTCTTCAAGTTTCTGGAAGAATTTGTATGGGTTGGTAATATTTTCTCCTTACAGAAACAAGCAAAGACATATTAACCTGGCATTCTCTTAGGGAAGGTTTTTAGACTGCAAATTGAATTTCTTTAGTGGCTATAGGGCTCTTCAGGTGATTACTTTATTCTCATGAGAGCATCATGACTTGCATCTTTTTTTAGTGTCCATTTCATCTAAGTTGTCAAATTTATGAGCATGGAATTGTTACTAACACTTATGATCCTTTTAATGTCTTTAGAATCTGAGAGATATTACCTTTCTCATTCCAGATATTCATAATTTGTGTCATACCTTTTTTTTTTTTCTGATCGGTCTACCTAGAAGTTTAGCAATGTTCCTGCTATTCTTAAAGAATTAGCTTTTAATGTTATTGATTTTTCCCTGCTATTTTTCTGTTTTTTATTTCATTGATTTCCACTTCAATATTTATTATTTTCTTTCTTCCACTAACTCAGGGCCTCATTTACTCTTATTTTTGTAGAAAATAATACCGTATTATCTTAAGGTATAAATTTGTGAAGATAGGGGAGTTTTCTATGATGTTTCCTCTATAATCAGCTTTAGTGGCATTTCACAGGCTGTAACATGTTGTGTTTTATTTTTATTCAGTTCAAAATATTTTATAATTTGCCTTCTGGCTATGTTTGTTAACCCATTTGATGTATGTTATTTAGTTTCCAAATATTTGTGTGTTTCCTAACAACTTTCTGTTATTGATCCTCACTTGTCCCTTTTGGTCAAAAAACTTGACTTTTGCAACTCGAATCATTCGAAATTTATTGAGATTTGCTTCAAGATTCAGGATATGTTGGTAAATGGTCCATGTATACTTAAAAAGAATGTGTATTATGCTGTTGTTGGATAGAAAGTTTGTTTAAGGTCAAGTTGGTTGATAATGTTCCGGTCTAGTATACCTTTGCTGAGCTTTTTCCTACTTATTCTATCAATTATGGAGTGAGTGCAAGGGTTGAAATATCAGATTATAAGTGTGGATTTATCTATTTCTTCTTGCATTTCAATCCATTTTCCTTCAAATATTTGCATACTCTGCTGTAAGTACATAAATATTCAGGATGCAGTGACCTTTTGATGAATGGACCTTCTAATAGCTCTACTAATACCCTTTGCTGAAAACTCTGTGTCTTTATATATAGCCACTCCAGCTTTTTCTTGACTTGTGTTAGCAAGGTGTTATAGGTTTTTTTTTTTTAATTTAATTTAATACTTAAAATTGTTTCCACAT